TCAAACTTGCGTTTTTTTTGCTTCATTTATAAGCCATACTTGCAAGCATTTCTGGGCTCCGACCCAAACTGTAAAGTGCCTTGTTTTGAGCCCGTCTTCAACTTTGTTGAAGGGCTCTTTCCTGTTCGAGGCCATCTTCTGCCCCTTTGTCTTTAATCTCTCTTTTAGGGCTGTTTTTTCATGACATATTAGCCTTATTTGTGAGCTGTTTTGGACCTCGACCTAAACTGAAAAAAAATCTTTTTTTGACCTGTTCTTCAAGTTTGTTTGAGGTTCCATTTCTGTTTGGAGTCATCTCCTTCTTTGCATGCCTTATTTCTCCATGCTTTGAGCCATACATGTGAGCATTTGCATTGGCCTTGTTTTGGCCTCTTAGCCACTGAAATCCAGTGGATTTTCAGTAGGTTAGGTGCATTCTTGAAGGCCAAAATCAGAGGGGGGTGACCCCCTCTCTCATTGTCTTGTTTGGTGGTCTTTTGGACTTCCAAAGAGACCCCTATTTTGTATGCATTGAGGTCACTTTCCAGGCCTCATTCTGAGGGTTTTGAGGTCTGCCTTGGCTCTGTCCAAGGCCCTTTTGGCCATATTTTATGTCTACAATGCATGTGTAGAGCAATCACATTCAAGACCTTTCAAAGGGGCCTTTCTTTGCATGATTCCGAGACTGATTTCAGGGCTTTTTTAGTGGGTTTTAGGACCCTCATATTCCATTTCCAAAGTTGATTTGGTCTTGCTAAGTGTCCATCTTGTATGTGCTTAAGAATCCCTTGCATAGCCCTCTAAAGGAGCTCATCATTTTTGCATGCATTGGCTGCATATCAGCGGTTATTTGGGCGTATTTTGGCATGTTTTATTCACTGGTTTTTTCTGGTTTGGTGAGATTCCATATGCTTCATAAACATGCCATGTAAACCATGTTTGCTAGTCAAAGTTGCATGCTATTTTAGTCCATCTTGCTAGCACTTTTTGACCATGCTCTAAACTGGAAATGTGCATGTTTTGGGACTGCCTTGGCTCTGTCTTTAGACTTCATAATCAAATAATGCATACTTTGTATAGCTATAAGTCATCGCACATGCCTAGTTTTGAGTTTCGGGGCTCACCTCATGCATCGGGTTCCATATTTCCATGATTTGGGACTATTTTGTATCATATTTCAGTGCTGAAATTTGCATATTTGCATACCATATTCCATGCCTTGCCATGCTTTGGTAGAGTGGCATTAGTGCCTTAGGTTTGCTCATCGGTTTGCGTGCATGCGTGCACGCATTTCGAGTGTCTCATCTTCATCTAATGGCCTCTTATGTGAGTGTGGCTGAGGTCCACTCATGTTGGTGTAAGTCCATTATGCATTGTGTATGCCATTTCATTTCATAGCATTGCGTATGCTAGTTTGTGTGTTAGCGCATTGTGTATGCCATGTTATCTCGTGCATCGTGTATGCCATTTCATAGCATTGTGTATGTTAGGTTGTATCTTAGTTGCATTTCATGCATATCATGCATATTGCATCGTGCTTGGGATAGGAGTTAGCCCGAGCACGAGAAACGAGGTATGTTTCGTACTCCGAGTGACGGAACGTATCTCAATTCCTGGTCGCTGACACTCTGGATTATCCATGATGGAGTCTAGGCCCTGTTGTGTTTTCATATGCATTCATTCTATATTGAATTGCACAATTCGACTCCTCGGCCATTATGCATCGATATGCGTGATTGGTGGCACGAGAGGATAGGCATGCATGCATCTGTAAAAATACATTGCTATGTCCCTTTTCTGCTCTGTTCTCCAGCTGAATATTAGCCGTGGAGTTGGTAGTTGTATCTATCTTATTGTCGTCCTTTAATTCCATTTGTTTGAGTTATAGGATGTGTTGGG